TAAGTGCGATAATTAAAAATGAAACGAACAATTTACGACCTTTAGAGAAGTCTGGCACGCGACCAAACTTGTGGGCGTGCGATCCATCCTGGCGATTTTTCACACCCAAGATCTCCAGGGGTCAGGGGGCCATAGGACCTAGTCCAAATGGAGTCCTTACGTTTGACTTGGCTCCTCCGCTTGATTGATGCACACCGTCGTCTTGCTGTTTGCCCAGAGCTCAACAAATTAATTGAAGAGTTTTCGTCTTGTTTTTTTTGGGGAGCAATGGTAACCTGGGAGCAACCCCCAGACACGCCTACTGTCCCGCTAATTGCTGTCATAAATTCTGAACTCAACTCTCTGGGAAACATTCTTTCGGCAAATTGTTCTACTCTTTAGCCCGGGAAAATGGTGTAAAAGGGGGTAGATGCGCTATTACCAAAGGGTTGCGAAGGGAAAGTGGATAGATTGAGCAATTAAAGAAAGAAATTTCTTAATGGTGAGTGCTCTTCAGGGAATCAGAAATGTACTTGACTTGAAAGAAAAGATAGCTTAATGGTAGATTTAAAAAATATAATTTGGTAATGATGGTATTCATAAAACTAATAAGTATTTGAAATAAATTTATGAAATATTGGAAAGCTCTTTAATGTAGTTTTTATTTAATGGGATATAAGCGATGCTTGTACTTCTTCGATTTATGTTAAAGCTTAACTCATATTTTTGAACTATTTATCGAGGAAAATGTTATACCTTTTACTGTGTTTTCCCATTTTATAGAGCATCTTTTATTCGGCTCAATAACATAGTGTTACTTTTCAGCTCCCATTTGTTTTGGTTTGCATGTTGTCTCAGCTTTGGCTCTTCCTGCGACCACTTTCCCCGTACTTCGCCCCGCAACTTTCACCCTCCTTGTCAACCAGAATGAAAATCGCTAAAAAGCAGCGTCGGGAAAGTCTGGCTTTACTGGCTGCTGTTGCTTTTTATTCCTGCCTTGCTTTTGTTTTGTATATTTTCCTTCATAGAGAAACGTGGCTTCCGGATTCCTTTGGTCCTTTGGGTGAGATGGACAGACACCCAATCGGTGAGAGCAGAGAAGGGAGAACTCCGTCTCTGAAACTTGATTAAGTAGTTTCCGCGTGCTTTTATTTGCACAATAAAAACATAACGTTTTTTTTCGTTTCGCTACAGTTGCTTCTCTAGTATTAAAGTTGGTTGAAAAAAAGGAGCGCTAGAGCAAAATGTGTGAAGTGGACTTTTCCGGGGGAAAATTGCATCCCTCTTTTCATTCTAGACGTGCACTGGCTGTTGCTATTTAAGCCGCTATTTTTATGGCTTTCGCGTTGGAATGATAACGTTATGACTCCATTGTGACAAGTCGCAAACGTGGTTTAGTTAAAATGTCTGGACATGTGGGATCATACGGACGGATGGGTTTTTTTTCTCACTCGGGAGATAAACAGGACAAGTTGGATACAGATAATGTAGGAGTAGGGGATATATGTTATCTTAATTCTTTGTGAAGGCTAGCAAAATCTGTAGTATTGTTTCTATTAATGAAACTCTTAGGTTAAGTTTAAATATTACAAAATCAAGCAAATGACGAGCTATCAAGATATCAGAAGATTTCCGAAGTATTTAGAGTTTGATTCCCCATTACCAATATCTCTAAACTGTTCTTTCTTTCCGCCTAAACACCATTAACAGTTTTCCCAGCATTTCCTAATGCAATCTGAATGGTCTGCGATATTCACGTAAATAGCGGCCATATGCCGCTCTATATACCCGCAGACGACGCAGCCCATTAAAAATGATTACAGAAATGCCTTAGCACACCCACCCACCCGAAAGTAATTTCACTTTTCGCCGCATATGCTGCCCGCTTGGAACATGCCTTTTTTGGCCATTTCTTCTTTTTTCCTTTTTTTTTTTGGCAAAACAAACAACATAAATATGGATTTCTCATTAAAATGCCAAAGTTATGCCGGCACGTAGATGGAAATGCTGCGAGACCTGCGAGTCCTATGAGAACGGCGCCGGCGCTTTGAGTTTGTTTTGCTCTCACCAATGTCAATGTCGCGTTCTCTTAGCCATTTCGTTGCTCTCTTTTTCGGCCAAGTCACGTGCTGCCATTGAAGGAATTTCACTGCCGGCTGGATCGTAAAGGAGGAAAAGGAGAGCAACCGGATAGGCTGAGAGGGTCGGTGGGGGCACTTCTCTTAACACTCAGCCAGGACGCCAGGACAATGTGACGCATTTGTCATGAAACGGATTTCCGGTATTGTCGTCGCTGTCTCTGCCACCACTGGATACCACCCATCCTCGTCTACGAGCCCCACTTGGCTTTCCCTAGGAAAACTTGTTCAATTTTTTATGACAAAGCCGTGGAGAAACGAAGAACGATGGAAAGTCGCTAAGAAAAAAATAAAAGAAAAAAGTTTGTCGTGCCCGGCCGCAAAAGTGGCTATTTAGCATTTTAGAGTAGGCGAACATGACCTCAAGGAACCCTGTGCCCCTGTGCCACGCACCCCTCTGATTCCTTGCCTTGCCAGTTTGGAGCCTCTGAATTTTTCATTAATTGTATTTCGAATGGAGAGCGGAAAAGCGAGAACAAATGGAAATTTAAATGAATGAATTTGGGAATGAATTTAAGTAATGTTTGGAGTTTTAAAGGCAGAGCAGATTAAGTGTTGGCAAAAGCATTTAAAAATGGATTAGAAAAAGAGATATATGGCTAACAAAATCATCCAAAAACCGGAATTTAAAAAATGTTCTTTAATGTGCATCGTTTAGTTCTTTCATTCCTGAAAAAGACACCCCTAAATTGCATTCCCCTATCCCAGTAGATTATAACAGCCATTCAGGTAGGAAGGTCTTGAAAAGTATGCAATACATTTCGTAAAGTGCAATATTTACCCTTCGTGCCTAATAATTCCCAACTAGCTCTAGCCCCATTTGCATGGAATAGGAACTGATTCGGAGTGGTAAGTTATCTTTGCGCAGAGGCGATATCGTAACCAATGAAGTTCTACTGAGGTGCGATTATTGCTAGTTGAAAACTTTAACCAATACCCCGCCATGGGGACGTGAAATACCGTCCACTACGGCAATTTTTGGGAGCCCGAGAGGGCCAATTAATAATACATTAAAAACATTTAGGTTAATATTGTAAAAGGCAACCCTTAAAAAGGTTGAAATGCGAGAATCAGCATTTATCTATGAAAATGTGCTAATGAAATGACACTAAAGCCAAAATCTTGATGAGTCATAATCGTTAAATGACCTTATAACTAAGATAGTTGGCTAAACAGCACACTCTGTGTTTGTGGGCTTAAAAAGATATGAAACCCACACAAAATGGCAAATCATCATGTTAAACTATTTTGGTGAAACCATTAATTTGAGCCATTTGAATCTAACCAAAGAACGAACACACTCACAACCCTTAACCAAAGAAAGGGTTCATGGACATTAGACAAATTAAGCCTACTCTCTAGCTAAATTACAAAAACACCATCCTGTGCATACAAATGCCTGTTGGTGTGTGAATGCGGGAAAATTCCCAAAACGTTCCTGACCGAAAATTACTGTCGCAATTTATGTTTATGTGACTGGAAAGTTTTTCCTCTCTCTGGCTGGATTTTTGTGTTTTTATAGTTCAAGTTCGACATGAGAAGAAAACCAGATAAACGGAAACGGAAACCTTTAACTTCAATGTAAATTTACTACTTGGTTAGTTTTGTTGGCTTTCGAAAAACTTCTAACAGAGCCTTTTTGGTTTTTCCTCTAGCCAAGCCTAAAGCCAATTTGAACTCACACACACACACGGCGAAGAGAAAAAAAGGAATGACCCTTAACAAAGTTGAGATTTTCCGATGCGTAACGTCGGTTTAACTCTAGAGACTGACTTGGGCGGCTTGTTTTCCTTTTTATGAACTAAGCAAATGTAATTCCAAAGCGACCCATGACCCCGAACATATTTCATTTTTTACGCTTAGCCTACTTTTTGTCAATGCCAAGCATGTAGCACTGATTTGGATTGTTGGCCTTTCCCTGGATCGTCCCAATTTATGCGTTATTTATGCAAAACAATCCCGCATTGATGAAGATGCTTTCGAATACAGTAAGGACGACGACTCCGAGGGAGCTGCTTGAGCCTTGGGAAAAGCCAAGAAAGAGATAAAATAATTCAATTAAAATTTATGGTAAGATGACAGAAAAGGAAGGTGTTCCCTTTTGCATACCATTTTAGTTCAGAATTACACAAATAAATTTCGTTTGAATTCAAGTTTCAGCTTAGCTTAAACTTAATTACTAAACATCCAACACTTTTATCTAGTCCATATTTATTATCAATTGACCCAGCAAGCTAAGTCGCCAGGCCTCAACAAAAATTGAGTTTAGACTCGTTAGTAAAAGGCGAAAGTTTATCCGACAAATTAAAGGGGAGCCAAGCAGTCGACACTAACAAGTACCTTGAATCAGTTAACCGATTTGTCTTGGTTATTTGAACGTAAAATTTTAATATATAAATCGAATTTACAATAGACATTTCTCCATAGACTCTTACAAATCTCATCATGAGGTCGTTTTTTATCCTCGTTGCGCTGATGTTACTATTAACGACAGAAGCTATTAACGTGAACCGATGGCAAAAAGCTTGCGGCCCTTTTAGCCATGGTTGCTATACTAATTCGCGAGGGTGTTGTATATACCCTAACGGAAGGCCTTGTGGGTTAGGTGCCGGTGGCATTTGCTATTACGGAAAATAAATAATCAGTGCACAAGTCCACTGAAAATCCAAGTAAAACCTCGAATTTTCTTTATTTTATTATGTATATTTTTCTTTTACAAGAAAAAAACAGAATGTCAAAGTTGAGCTTAACTATTTCTGCAACTAACGCTTTGTTTTCGTCTAAAAATCTTTTGATTGGAGTTACAAATCGTACGGCTATTTTCTGCAGACCATATTCTTTGGTAAAAATTACATTTCTTAAATTTATTACAAATTGGCCCGGCAACCTAAGTCGCTAGGCCTCAACAAAAATTAAGTTTAGACTCATTAGAGTGCTCCTCTCCACGGAAATCTTTAGTAAAAGGCGAAAGATTTATTCGACAAATTGAAGAGAAACCAGAGTGACTTTCCGTTGTCAAACAGTCTGCTTGTTGGTTCGGCATGAGGTAGAACTACTTGGGAATTATAAGTACTCGGAGTGCAACTGCTTGGGCTTGCAACTGAAAGGCAAAACAAATAGGGTTTGCTACCTGAATATGGTTCGATGAGTGAGGTAATTTAAATCGGAGAGGGTTGCAATGTAAATTAAAATGTAAACTGTGTCGGCAAAATTATGCTTGCGTTGCATTAACGACATCGAATTAGTTAACATTTTGGTCTTGGTTTTTTTAATGTAAAATTTTATTCCGTCTCGCTGTGTCGTTTATAAATCTCATTTACAATAGCCACTTTTCCGTAGACGGTTGCAAATCTACATCATGAGGTTGTCTTGTTTCCTCGTTGCGCTGATTTTACTATCGACGACAGAAGCTATTAACGTGAACCGATGGCGCAAGGTTTGCGGCCCTTGGAGCCATGGTTGCTATACTAATTCTCGAGGGGGTTGTATATACCCTAACGGAAGGCCTTGTTATTAAAGTTACGGAAAATAGAAGAGTATGCACGCGTCTTGTTCGTTTTTTCCAAAAATGAAATACAATAATTCTCAACTAGTTCTAGCTGCATTTGCATGATTTTCGTTTGGTGGGGTGGAATGGTTATCGCTTCTCGGCCTTATGGCTAAGATCAAAGTGTAGTATCTGTTCTTATCAGCTTAACATCTGATAGTTCCTCCATTGGAGGACAACAAATGTTAAACTGATTTTTGTAATCAGACGGAGTGCTAGGGGCTTGCTCCACCTCTGTCACGGGTTGGCCCGGTATTGCAGTACCGCCGGGATTTCGGCCCACCTGAGTAATAAATAAAACGGTTTTTATTGAGGTATTAAGTCCTCTAAATAGCCTAGTTACTAGGTGTTAGTTATCCGCCGCTCTATACTTTACTGCGCCGCTAGGATGATACTTTCCTACTGAAAGCGGCGGAATAGCAATACCACCGCCCTTGTTTGACTTGTCTGTTTTTTTGATTCGAGCCAATATATTTTCCTTCCGAAGTACACGCGTACGAGTACTTATTAAATGCTATTTTACCACTAGGGTCGTCGGGTCTTCTCATTTTATGTGTATACTTTAAAACTACTCAACAACTTTATCCTAACTTGTAATGAAATTATTATCTTTCACCTTAGAATTAAAAATTATAGAAAAACATCGGATTTTGCATAAATTATGTTTAAAATAAAAGTACACAAATTGTTGTGTAACTATTAAATTAGTTTTTAAAACACTTGAAACCTTTTCTAAATATACATTTTTCATATAAAATAAGTAAACATATAACAAAGTTTATATTGATTTGGCCTTAGGGATAAATTTAAGAAAATTCAAGGTAAAAGCTTTAAAGAAAGTGTCTTCTAAGACTCAAACCAACAAATAAAAGAAATCTTGAAAAATTGTATTGTAAAATCCTTAGCAATCTTTTTTAAAGCATAACAAAGGTTAAAACAAGAGGGAACGCTATAGTCGACTGCCGCGACAATAAGATACCCGTTACTGTTTTACACAATTTTAAAATATTCATTTTGCTAGTGGAAATTAGCCAAGCGCCACCTATTGTCAGAGGATGTATGTTGAGTATGCTTATAGTGACGTCACTGCCCATGTGAGTCCTTATACCCTTATTTTCTTTGTAAATAGCGAAATAATGTTCCGATTTGAAAAATCTTTGATAGATATTAACAGAAATAAGTTACACAAGGTCAAACGAAGGCATTCATAATATTATTATAGACGCCACAGTGTTCCGCGGTTTGTAGGCGTTGGAGTGGGCGTGGCCGAATAAAAACTTGTGGGAAGTTGCAGTGGCAACCGTTAAATACGTTTTCTTAAGCCTAACTTTCTAGCTCTTTTAGTTCCCGAGATTTTTGCATTTTTAGGTTTTGTAGGCGTTAGGGTGGGCATGGCTAGATGGAAAAAAAACAATTCGCAAATGGGGCATCATAAAAATCTACATGCTTAATCCGAACTTTCTATCACTTATAGTTACCGAGATAATAGGATTTCTTGAAAATTCGAAAACCGTCTATTGAGATTGGTGGGCGTATGGGTAGGTGTGACCAGATAATAGTATCACTTAAAGATGCGCTGGCATCCAAAGTTTATACATACTGAATTTCAACTTTCTAGCTCTAATAGTTCCGGAGATTTTAGCGATTTAATTTTTCGCGATTTGTGGGCGTTAGAGTGGGCGTGGCAGGATGCTGAAATAAACTTGCGCTTTCCCGGGACCTTAAAAATCTTCATGCTTAATCTCAACTTTGTATCTGCTTTAGTTCCTGAGATCTCAGCGTTCATACGGACGGACAGACGGACATGGCTCAATCGACTTCGCTATTGATCCTGATCAAGAATATATATACTTTATGGAGTCGGAAACGTTTCCTTCTATCTGTTACATACTTTTCAACGAAACTAGTATACCCTTTTACTCTACGAGTAACGGGTATAAAAATTTAATTGCAAATGCAAGTAAAAAACGCCTACTTTTGTTTTTTTTCATGTATATTTTTTTTCTACAAGAAAAAACCAGAATGTCAAAGTTGAGCTTAATTATTTCTGCAACTAACGAATTATTTTCGTCTAAAAGTCTGTTGATTAGCGTTACAAATTTTAAGGCTATTCTCTCTATGCTTTCTTTATTAAATATTTTTTTTTATGTATTATCAATTGGCCCGGCAAACTTAGTCGCTAGGCCTAACAAAAATTAAGTTTAGACTCATTAGAGTGCTCCTCTCCACGGAAATCTTTAGTAAAAGGCGAAAGATTTATTCGACAAATTGAAGAGAAACCAGAGTGATTTCGCACCGTCAAAAAGTCTGACTCTTGTTTCGCTCGAGCTAGAACTACTTGGGAATTATAAGTACTCGAAGTGCAACTGCTCTGAAGTGCAACTGAACATGGTTTGCTACCTAAATGGGGTTCGGTGAGTGAGGTAATTCGAAACCGTGTCTTCCAAAGGGAGGGTTGCAATATAAATTCAAATGCAAAAGGTGTCGGCAAAATGAAGCTTACGTTGCATTAACGAGTACATTGAATCAGTTAACAGTTTGATGTTGGATGTTAAAATGTAAAATTTTCTTTCGTCTCGCTGTAACGTAAATATTATTTACAATAGGCATTTTTCCATAGACGATTGCAACTTTACATCATGAGATCTATTTTACTCTTCGTTGCGTTGATTTTTCTATCAACGACAGAGGCTATTAACGTGAACCGATGGCGAAGAGTCTGCGGCCCTTGGAACGCAGGCTGCTACATTAATGCCCGAGGGTGTTGTGTATACCCTAATGGAAGGCTTTGTACTGAAGGTAGCGGTGGCTTTTGTTATTAAAATTACGGAAAATAAATAAAGAGTGCACAAGTCACAAGTCAAAAGTATGCACGCGACTTTTTCGTTTTTTCCCAAAATGAAATATAATGATTCTCAACTAGTTCTGACTGAAATGTCACCATGTTCCATTTTTATTTTAATGTATTTGAACTTTATTTTAATTTGTAATGTTTAAAAATTAAAAGTCAAATTTTCAACAAAAATATCTAATTTATTAATCACTTATTAAATAAAAACGAAAAGAAAAACAAATTAATATAACACTGTTGATGATATTCATGTTCTACTTCTTTGGTATATTGTCATATTCTTAGTTTGTAAATAATAACAAAAAAAAAACAAATTTTATATCAATGTTTCAATACATACATGGTCCAAAGAAAATAATAGTTCTTTTGGATATTGTGATATTCCTACTATACTTACTATTCCGAATTCTACTATATATGTATATTTGCATATTATTTACATCTTTGTTTTTGTTTAAAAAGAGTAGCTTATCGACAACGGTCGATGATAGCCGCGTGCGACGTTCACTTATAAGTTGTCAGGCTTTACTGAAAACTCTTTCAGATGCGCACGAAAATGCCGGATCGCAGAAGTATTATTAAGCTTACGTTTTAAAAGCGTCGCCATTAAATTAAGTTATATATGTACTTACAATTCGTCAATCAATCAATGTGCCTTAGAAAAGAAAAAACATCGATGTTCCTCCGGTAAACATCGATGTTCTCGAAACATCGGGAACATCGATGTTTACCGGAGGAACATCGATGTTTTTTCTTTTCTAAGGCACATTGATTGATTGACGAATTGTAAGTACATATATAACTTAATTTAATGGCGACGCTTTTAAAACGATGCGATGTTCGCATCGATGTTTTTCCACCTCTAATTGTGTTCGCTTATCGGCCTTATGGCTAAGATCAAAGTGTAGTATCTGTTCTTATCAGCTTAACATCTGATAGTTCCTCCATTGGATGACAACAAATGTTAAACTGATTTTTGTAACCAGACGGAGTGCTAGGGGCTTGCTCCACCTCTGTCACGGGTTGGCCCGGTATTGCAGTACCGCCGGGATTTCGGCCCACCTGAATAATTAATAACACTTATTTTAATGTCATAGTATTAGGGTATTATTTAGCTATCTTTTAAATATTAGTTGGATGAAATTTTGGGCCTGTCCTCTCGCTCATTTAGTTTAATGCTTTCTTTACCAACGATTATACTAAGTTTTTGACTTACCATTGAAATTACTCTCAGCAGCTAGCTATCTATGTATGTAAATAAAAATGAACAAATATTTTAATATTTCTTAAGTTTTTGAAACAAAAAAAAAATGTAAGCGAAATAAGAATTATATAAATTTTATTTCTGAAACGGTAGAATATAAAATTACTTGTTACAATTATAATTTTTGCTTATCAAAAAATTAGTGAAAGGACATTAAATGTATTTATTTGGCTTAGAGGATAAAAATAAGATAGAATAAAGTATAAATATATACTATATAAATAACAAGTATAATATATATGCGAAAAATGCAAAGGAAATATTATTATGTGTGGAAATATGAATGTTGTTCGAAATCATTAGGTATAATAGGAAGAAAAGAGTCCTATGGGACAAAAAACTT